TGTTTCCAGGTGAGGAAACCAGGTCTCAGAGTGGTGAAAGAAACCGTGGACCTAGATGGTTTAGATCTTGTGGTCTTAACTTCTGTGCTGAGTAGGTGCTAAGAGGCAAGGTGGTTTCACATCATAGATTTTTGTTCTGTTTTCTTAGAGCAGGAATTAACAGGTATTGCTGGAAACTCGTCCCAGATTTCTCTCTCTCTCTCTCTCTTTTTTTCTATGTGCCATTTCCCGCCCATCGAAGCAACCCATTGCCCAGAGTCATTAGTAGTTGAGTGGTAGAATTCTTACCTTCCACATGGGAAATCTGGATACAGTTCCTGGTCAGTACTGATCAGGTTTCAGCAGCTTCCTTCCATACTAACAGACTAGGAAGAAATGTCTGGTGATCTACTTCTGAGAATTACCCAGTGAAAACCCTGTTGATCATAATGGCCTGATCTGCAACTGGACATGGAGATGGTTCAGGGCAGGGCACCATTCCATAGTTGCCATAAGTCAGGGCAAACTGGATGGCAGTTACAATTGTCTAGACAATGACATAGCAAAATCAGTCATTTGGGCCTCATTAGCATAAATAGAAGGATAAACCTTTTCATTGCGATTGAGGTTGTATGTAGAATGTGTGTAGTGTGAATTTCTTGAGCATGTCCACGGTGCTAGGTGGGATAGCTTTGTTACAAAGACTCTGGGCAAGTGAACTTTTATTTTATGCTATGCAGAAGCGCTAACATAGCTGGCCCCAAACCGCTGTCCTTTTATTGTATTTTATGTTTTTAAAAATCATTTTATTGGGGGCTCGTACAACTCATCACAATCCATACATACTGCTGTCCTTTTAAATACCTGCTTTTAAGGTGGGATTCTGGAGACTTGTAACCAGTTCCCTATGAGATACACATTTTCTTTAAGCAATGAGGGTAGCTTGCTATACCTGGAGTGTGTTAACAATCCGGTTCACTCTGAATAGCAGTATCCATATTGGGTGTCTGGAATTGTACACACTCGTTAAGGAGTTTCTTTCTGAAGCCCTTCATGAGCTGTTGGTGCTTTCTTGAGAAGAAAGATGTGCAGTGTTGCTGCATTTTCCTTTCTGGGGGAGGGACAGAGTTTGCACATGGATGCTCCGGGCTCTGCCTGTGTCTTTCCCCCTTTATGGTAAAGAAAAGCATTGCTTTCCTGCTTTATTTTAATTCTTTCATACCCTGTCAAGTAACTGGCCATCCTTTTTGCTAGCTTAAGGGTATTTATTTAAAAAACAGTTTTCGTATTTATGTCTACAGCAACTTCATAGAACCTTCCCCTCTCAAGTTGTTGCTCAGCATATCCATGAGTAAGGTGAAACACACATAACTCGGTGGTTTTGAGTCAGTATGTTCAGTAAAGATATTGAAACATTCAACAAGACTTTAAACAGTTCATGGAAAAATGCCATTATCTTCCAGTTCCATTTTTTCCCCAGAAGCTCCCTTGCATGTTCGTTTCATTCACATTTATCCTGTGAGCCATCTCCAAATAATGGGCTATCAAAAATATACTCATTAAAATTATGTATTTATTTCGATCAATATGAAGAGAGAATTATTTAAAAATGAGTTTTATGTACCAGAAGGCTCCTTTTACTAAATTGTAACTAATTATATTGCTGTAGTATTTTGAATGCACAGTGGGGTTCGAACTGTGTGGTGTGTGTGAGGCCATTGTGTATTCAGGCGAGTAATCATTTTGATTTCTTCTTGGATCTAAGTAAAATGAGGCATGGGTGGAACAGTAACTTTGATGTCCATTTTATGTGTAGGCACAGGGCACATCAGTGGTCTTTACTTATGGCTTAAAACTGACCTATCCTTTCATACTGAGATCTGAGACGTCGTTAGTGATTGCTGCTAAACTGGATAGCTTATTTCTCCACTCACTTGATTTTTTCAGGAACTGTGTGCACCTATTTACATGTTTGCAATTTGGGGTCTTGTGGCATTCTGGATAGGTTAGGGTGACTTCAAAAAGTTTGTGGACACAGTTTGCCATGAGCTTTTTGCAGCTGCCCCCGCCTCCCCTCTGCAGTTTAAAAAAAATAAGTAAATCGTTTTATTGGGGGCTCTTACAACTCTTATCACAATCAGTACATACATCAATTGTGTAAAGCACATCTGTACATTCATTGCCCTCATCATTCCCAAAACATTTGCTCTCCACCCAAACCCCTGGCATCAACTCCTCATTTTTCCCCCTCCTTCCTCGCTCCCCTACCATGAACTCTTGATAATTATAAATTATTATTTTGTCACATCTTGCACTGTCCGACGTCACTCTTCACCCACTTTTCGGTTGTCCGTCCCCCAGGGAGGAGGTTATATGTAGATCCTTGTAATCGGTTCCCCCCTTCCACCCTCCCCTCCCTCTACCTTCCCAGTATCGCCACACTCGGCACTGGTGTAGTGCACGATCTAATCAGCTTGTGGGCTTTAAGGTGTGCCAATGATAGAGACTTGGCGATGACAATTCGATTCCTTCCTAGGATGCATGTAGAAGTATTTTTATTTAAAAAAAAACACTTTAATTGATATATATTTCACATACCATACAATTCAGTGGTCACATTTATTAAAGCAAGTTGTGCAGTCATCACAGTTAATTTTACATTCTTCTGTGATGATTGCTGGATTTCTGACTAGATCAGAAAAAGGTCCAAGAAGGGGACGTATGCTTTCCTAGAGAAATCATTGGAAATTCTACAAAGGTGAACGTGCCATGGTGAGCATTAAATTGTGTCATAATGACTGTGGAGATGAAAAGGAGTTAGACTATCACACTGGTTGTGTGTGAAGCTAGCAAGCCCTAATCTAAATGTTGTTTCAATGCAATTACTAATGTTCATTAACTTTTAAAGCACAAGGCTGCTTGACCCTTCATAATCAATTAATATATTTTTGACTATTTTAAATGTACAGTCAGTGTGGAAAGGTTTAGCATATATAATGCTTATTTTTTTTATCAGCAACTTAGTAGTAATAATAATAAAAATAACCAAATTTCAGTTTAAGAGTTTGTCATTAATGGGCTTAGAGATAATTAGAAAGTTTTGTGGGCCATGAGACTGGATAATTGAATTGAATAAAGGCTAAATTAAATTTTGAAACTAATTAAGATCTTGTGTTTTATGCTGTAATTAAAACCAGCTTGCCAGGATGGTGTTTGCATTTGGAATTGAACTAAAATATATGAATGCAGAAAAATGAATTCACAGTTTCGTGGCAAAACAGCTAAAGTCTTAGGAATCTTGGGTTTTCCTTATGTTTGGATCAAATGAAAAGGGTGATTCAGGTACTGGTTGCCCTGCAGTAATTACTGTTTTTTTCCCCACCTGTCTAAATGCTTTTGATTCGTAGTAACGGAAAGAAATTCCCCTCTTTTCTTTGACCATTGACAGCCTCCTGTAACGAGCTCCTCTCCTTTAGAGCCCTGAGGAGGCTTGGACTAAGAGTTCCGTTACTCCTGGTAGTTTGGGCTTGGTCCCTGTCCTCTTGCAACAGCTTTGCCAGTCGGTGTTCTACATTGGCTGCAGCTGGGGACTGTAGGAGTGAGTGGGCCTGGTTTGGGATTCCACGTGGTATCTTGGTACGGAGTGTGTGGCTGGTAACAGCCTTAAA